ACCTCCCGGTGGATGGTTTTCCGCGCGTACGTTTTGACACTTTTGTCTTTGATGTCATGGTCACTTTGAAGCACAGGATGCGGTATTTCCCATAGTCATGCATGTTCTTTTCTTCTTTTGGCCGCAAAACTGGCTCTCTGCCCGTGGGGGCAAATTTTAATGCATTTTTCACTGGTATTTGCACGCAATGCAAGATAGGAGATCAACAACACAGTATTTTTCGAGGTTCGTGTTTTGATCCCCTTTTTATTTCGCCACAGCGAAAGGCAAAACAATTGCAAAGCAACTCTTTTTTACTCTCAGGCGTCTCGGTAGGCTTCCGCCGTTCTACGGCTCAAGTTGGAGGAAAGCGTGTTTTGTTTTTCCACCTCCACTGCCATTGTCGTGCGTACTGCAGGAGCAGAGGATTTTTGTGAGAGAAAACGAAGAAAAAAGAGAGACGGACTTGCTCGGAGAGGCTTCTAAATCACGATATATACTATAGAGTATGACATAGTCGCAAGAACAATCTGTCAAAAGTTCATAGTTCACCATTCATTCAAGTCTCAACCATTCCTGTGTTGTCCACCAAATGGCGCGTAGAAATACGTAGAACACTTATATACATGAGAACAAAGCGGTCATAACACATGTGCAGGTGTGCGCGTGCCACGCAAAAAACTGCATACACACGCACGTTATTGCCCCCCACCCAACCCACCCCCGACCCCCCAACCCATCCGCTCCAATGAGCACGTGAGTCACAAGTGAATTCGGCAAATCCCAGTGGAACTGCGGCGAAAAGGACAGAAATTTGACAATCATGTTGTAGCAGCCAATACGGTGTGGACATGTAAAACGTTCAAAAACACTGTAATTTACAAGGAACATTACATTTTATCGACTGTCATGATGTATGTCCCGGTAGCCAGCGAACGTGAGTGATGTTGAAAAAAGCGCACGACTGCACGTAAACATCCGTTGGCATAAAGCTGTAGTAAACACGTTCTGCTTCACCAGTTTCATATTTCCTCTTGTTTTCGCGTTCTGCTGGTCATTCCCAAAACCTTTCGTCAAACCCTGTAGGCCAATTGAGCCCACAACGAGAAAACACCATTTTGCCTCGAACTACTGACCCAGTCTTCGACCAAGGCTCATTGACCTCGGGGCGCGGCCCCCGAGCCGCCAATAGTCGAGCAGTTTGGCTCTTGTGAGCTTGACGAAAACCACAAACCAATGCACTCAAAACAACTTTGTGTGTTTGTCGGATTTGCAACCCTAGCCGTGAACAAGCCAAAATGCCGAGGAATGGTACTTGCCCCCCAAATGCATTCAGTTTGGTGTACACACAACGCAGTTTCTGATTCAAGCAGTCTTTGACCATCCAAAGGAGACTGTCCAATGTTCCTCATTTGGAGACTTGCCAGGAAGATGATGCAGTGCTTAGATTCAACCATAGCGTACTTGGGGACGCTTGGCAGAATAGAAGCGGACGGGTGTTTGAATATGCATGCCATGATCAGATGTGCAAGGAGCTTTGCTGACCTCATGTATACAGTATATGAAACAATGAACAACTGAATAAGCTGAATATATATATACACATGTACACATTATCCATACGTTACGACTTTAATTAACGGGATTTCTTCTGTTGCGACTAGATGCCAATGTGTTTGACCGACGAGGCCCTTGGGTCCAGGTTCAGCTTCTGCTCTTTGCAGAGTTATCAAACGGCTGAATAGCAACCTTTGACTTTTGTATGTTTAGGGCCAATTCAACCTTCGACATTGCGCAAAGACAAGGCTGTGGTCTATGGCAACATGTCAAAAGGCCCGGATCCTCAAAGGGGTGTGTCATCAGCAAAAAAACACTGCCCTTCGGAAGACCAGTGTCCAGCCAAAAGTAGGGTTGCTCTCTTGAAACGTATTGCACTAGCCAAAACAAGAACAGTCTTGTCTTGGCTATAAAGTGTATATAATATACTTAGGCTGCTGTCGCAGTCTCAACACCTTGCATGGAAGAGACCCCAATGACTCCCAGCAATCTGACAGAATGACCTTGCGAATTCAGATCGCGGCCAATCTTGGAGGTAAGGGTGTCTTGGTTTTAGTCCTAAGTTTAGGTTTGAAGGCTGTCCTGCCATCGCTTCTACCAAGGCTATCAGAAGGGCCCTGGCAAAGGCATGGATCAGAAGGCTGGCAGCTACCTGCCAGTGCACTATTTTACTGCCGGTGCTTTAAGCAAGTATATATATATATATAGTGCAACAATTCGATACGCATCATGGGATTTTAGGGATACTTTCAAACGCAGGAACCTTGGGACATATATATATATATATATGTAATAAAACACCGACATTGTTTGATTGCAACAATTGGTTCCTGTCTTTATGTGTATGTAGATACTCCGGTAGTGCGATGCACGAGTCGCATTTGTCAACCTCCGTAGTTCCAAGGGCTCATCCTTTCTCAACAAGATTTTGCAAATCCTTTCTGATCTTGCTGGACATTTCATCATGATCCTTTCAGGATCCTTTAGTTCCTGCTGTTTAGATAGATCAGCCGCCCCTGAAGATCACTGCTCAGGGCAAAGGCTTCCAAGGCAAGAACTGGCAGGCTGTGCTTCAGTGGACGAGTCGAGTGGGCATTGTCAGTCCGTCAAGGTCTCTTCAGTGTGTTTGTGCACCTGAATTCAATCTAGCGGATCGACATTGACAAGCTGACGGGGCCTGACAACCAACATGATTTCAGGGTGTAGTATTGGTGTTGAACATACCTACTTGGCATTCTTGTGAAGTATTCACAGCAGCACCCTGGCGCCATTCCACAATCCACTGCCAGGGAAAAGGCTACGACAAGGGCTATGGCGGTGGTGCGGGCTACGGCAGCGGCGCCGGCTATGGCAGTGGTCAGGGTTATGGCGGTGGTCAGGGCTACGGCGGTGGTCAAGGCTACGGTGGTCAAGGCTATGGCGGTGGTCAGGGCTACGGTGGCAGCCAAGGCTACGGCGGCCAAGGCTATGGTGGTGGCGGACAGGGCTATGGCGGCGGTGGCGGCTATGGCGGTGGTGGCTCATGGGGCAAGTCAGGCAGCTTTGAACGGGGATGTGAAACTTCGTGACAACACAACACAGAGTTGAAACCCAGCACATATAATGGGGTGTCATGTAAACAGTACTAGGCTTTCCTTCCAAGCATGCTTTTCCTGTTTCTACACGAAGATGATGTGCTTCATTAAGAGGAAACTATTGTTGATTGATGTTGGTGATGCTACCAAGATTGTTGCTGCGAGAGTGTGGGGGCGGCGGATTTTGCACTAACAACATAGTGCTTGCAGAACTATTTCAACGAGTGTATTTTGAGGTATATGGACCTGGACTACAAAATACACAGTAGAACCTTGTAAGTGTGCAAGATTTGTATATTCTGCGTTGGACGACTTGTGAAGTGACCTGCTGAGCAGATGCCAAGTGTTTTCTTCAACCAGCTTTTCTTGGTGAATCCTCCATTCTTGTCAGGAGGAGGCGGAGGGTGCATGGGAGGCGGGACACGTTGCAAGATTTAGTTTCGTCATGTGAATTAACAAATGAACACCTAATCAATTTGCAAGTGCGCTTGAAAAAGAAGCAGCGCAAACAAAATCAAGTTTCATTTTGCTTGAGATTTATCCGCAGTTTTTTGATTCTTCTCTCAGGCAAGCCTCCGCAACTTGGATGAAATGCCGCCTTTCTCCTCCTTCGTGTTTTACCCTCAAACGGAATATTAGGAACATACAGATCAGCTTAGATTCATTGTGACATTGATGTTCTTGTTCACTAGACCCTGGTACAACTTAGCAGCTAGCATTTGGAATTGTTCTTGGAACAAAACTAAGCGTGTCAAACTTTGCCATGTCGGTACTGCTATGTCTATGTGCTTTGATTTCTAGATTTCTATAGTACCCCCCCGCAGCTACTGGCTGGGTAAACTATCCGGAGCAGTGTCGAAGAGTTGCATAGCCGACATCGCGCTAGAGCACAGCCTATAGCTGAGAGGAGTTACTTTACCGTTGGTCAGTCCTCATTCAGTCTCCACATTCATGGAGGGCATTGGTTGTTCCAAACAGAGCCCAAAGCAATAACACCGTCCATTTTTGGTTGCCGTTTGTAAGGATGGGTGGCAAGAAAGGCTTCAACAACTACGGCAAGGGCTATGGGAAGTGAGGGCAAGGGCTCTGGTCGCTCGAAAATTTTGGGCCACTCCAATGAAGCCGGACATCGAGACCGTTGGTCCGATTTGGCCGGTGGCAGGGTAGACGACTCTACGTGTGCATTCCTTAATGTATATTTGGCGATGCAGTTGAAAAGGGTCTGCCGGCTGCTTTAAGTAGACGTGGTTGCCAGGAGCGAAGAATTGTCTTTTGAATATTGTGGGGATTGCAACTTGTTACTTCTGCAATGAATGAGCTTGTATTTGGGTCATCGCAGATATCCGACTTGTCCAAGATGGGATGAGAAGCCCATGGCTTTTGGAGGATTGGCCCATGCCGGCCGCCATTGCCTTTTGTTGCATGTAAGAGGGAGAGAGAAGCGAGAGAGAAGGCCCTGTGAAAGGATCAGTGCAGATGTAGCCGCATCTTGGCTTTCATGGTGTTGTTGTGAAGTCCCTCAACATTCCTAAAAGCAACAGCAAGGTTGGAATTGTGTGAGTAGAGATTGTCATGCTGCTGGGAAGAGGTGGCAATGACAAAGATGGACAACACACAGTGCACTACCTATCCTTTGACTACTGTTGGAGAAACTATCTGACAAGATTGCACACGATACCGCTGGTTCCGCCAAGGTTATATATATATATACATACTGTATATGTAGACAGGTGCAAACATAGATTGCAAAATAAGTATTGTGACAGGCAAGGACGGATTCAAGCACATCCTATTCCCAAGAGCAATGTTGTTATCTGCATCCCACAGATGATGTGAGCCCAGTTTGTTTTGATAACTCTGCGAGCTTGCCCACCGTTTTTTGCTCTCGAGGCCTGTGCCAGTACCGCCTCAATTTCAAGATCTGATGCAGGTGGGAAGCCTTGATGCAAAAGGAAGGTGGGCCAGGTGGGCGGAATGTCTCTTCCTTTTTGCAAGAAGAACCACCCTTACTAGAACTGAGGTTTGGACTTTTCTACCATTTTGCCGCTTGCTATATGTTCTTTGCGCCACTACATGCTCGAAATGGTCATGTCGCTACAATCAGACGAGATTTGAGACATTCAGAACTGAGGAAGAAGCTAGATGTGTGCGTATGCGTGCCAGTAGATTGCCTCCGTAGACTCATCCAGACGTTTAGTCAGTAGAGCTCCTGTCCAATACCATTCATTCAGAATCTTTGGGAAAGGTCAATTGTCGTTATAGATCAGAGATAGGTCCCCAAACCTTGTAAAGGTAGCTATGAAGTCCTAAACCCTCGATCAGAGATCCCCAGGAAAGTAGACTTTCTGAGCAGAACAGAATCCTTCACTCAAGGGTTTTGCGGGAGGCATATGATAGAGAGGTGTGTAGAATCTATGCGGCTTGAAAGCCTAAGAAAGCTTGTGTTTGCAGGTGGCGGCAGAGTTGGAGGTGCGCCGCCAACGAGGCGCGAGGCCGCCTCGGCAAGAGGTAGAAGGCCTCCATTAGCCTTCACTGAGGGATGCCGTGCTGTAACCTTCGTGGTTTGATAGTACAACATAATAGGAATGCATGTCACCCTGTGGATGCTAGATGCATTGATCTCATTCGATTCTATAATTAAAGTGTTTATGTGGAGCTTTCGATGCTTCGACATCTTCAGACAGGTTTTGCCTGCATGCTTTATGTTTTGTTTTGAGATGTTCCTGGATGCTTGTCAAAGGAACTTTAGTGGAGAAACTTCCGTGTTACGGACATTTGGAAAGCCATCAGCAGTTGCACAGTAACAGTCACGTTCGTATCATTCATGTCAGCAACAGCAGCGTAAGATAGAGTAAGTATTGTTGATAACAACAGTAGCGTAAGTCAGCGTTTCAAAGTGAGAGTAACCTAAGTCACAGTTGCACGTTGCACATCAACAGTAGCATATGTTCCTTTTGAAGCCTTGAGATGTGCAAATTTGAGGAAGGAGCTTTGACATGCCACAATTTGACATATTGCACAACATGCTTCAAGCTGAGATTTGCAAATTGGAGGACATCTTGCATGAAATGCTATTTCTTTTTTCCAACAGCGAAGCTTAGGGGTCTTCAGCCATAGTAAAGACTTTGGAGCAGAATCAGAGCAGGTCACAGAGCAGGTTCGAAGCAACTTCTGAAACAGGTTCCAGAGCAAGTTCGGGAGCATCCGAGCAGGTTCCGAAGCAGCTCCGAAACGGAACCGGTTCCGAAGCAAGTTCCGGAGGAAGTTCTGGAGCAAGTTCCGGAGCAGGTTCTGGGAGCCAGAGGGGTCAACCGAGACGAAAAAGAAAACATGCGCAGATGACGGCGGCGCGAAGGCGGCTGGACCCACTCCGCCGCCGCGGACCCCTGCCGCACGACCACTATGCTTGCAGTTGCGGCTGCCGCTGCTTCCTGTCCCGCAAGTCGTGCCGTGGGAGCCGACGCAGCTTGGTGCACGCAGTAGGCAGCCTAACTTATCCACGCGGGGTGCTGAAGGCTAGAATCCACAAACATACACACGCGCGGGCGAAATTTGTGTTTCAGTGTGTGCCCACCTGTCCCTAGCTGCAACGATAAACCTGGATCAGGAGCTTGCAATAAGCCAGACAAGCAGGAAATTGTATTCAAAGAAAGGGGGCCAAAAAAAGAAGCGAGCGGCCAAGGCTGCAGAGGCTCACAAACAAACACCTTTATGGAGCCGGGAACAAGCAAAGAAGACCAAGGAGTGCGCGTCAGTTGTGACAGGCTTGCCAAAGAAGGAACGCGCTTGGCGTCACGCGCAGCGGCAGACTGAATGAACGGCATCGACGCAGCGCGATTGCTGAGAAACATACACAGAGAATGCAACTTTGCATTTTCCAGCACTTTGCGGCGGTGAATGCCCGATCTCAAGGAGATGTGACGTGAACGGGTGGTGAAAACGCCACGTCAGGCCGGCTCAACCTCATTTCTTCAATTTGGCCTTGAATATGCTGGGGAGCTGGCTCTGGCAGGCCAAAGGGTGGCGGAACGCGAGGCGTTTTGCCTGTTGCTGAAGCGCAAAGCAAGGGAAACAGAGTTAAAACAGGCCAAAGCTACACAGAGAGAGAGAGGGAGGGAGGGAGCGAGAGAGAGAGAGAGAGGGAGAGGGAGAGGGAGAGAGAGAGAGAGAAACAACAAACAAGAGACGAACAGAAAAGAAAAGACAAACAGGAAAAAAATATGTAGAACTATAGAACGACAAAATGAAATAATGAAAGGAAGAAAGAGCGACAAGGACGCAGAGGAGCAAAGACGTGAAACGCGTGAAACAAGGGACTCAAGAAAAAGGATGCCTTGTTTTTGAACGCGCGCGGGGGAAACATGCTAGGGATGGCTGTTGGAGAGACCAAAAGCTGCGTCTAGGTGTATACCTTGAGCGCGCCCAGGTGGAGAAAGAGCACGCCCACCTGAAGTCGTGACGCCTACCATTATGCAGCTCTAGCGTATTGAATAGTTTCATCCCGCTAACTTGGTTTTGACAAGTTTCCGCTCAGGAAGTACAAAGCCCCCGGACCCGGAATTTTGATGCAAAGATTGTCCTTCAACAGCGTACATGGTTTGGTACCCAGTAAGGTACCCTGTGACCCACTTGTGTTGGACAATGTCGCAATGCCCATTCACGACCTTCGCGAGACAAAATTCTGCTCCTCTTTCCCTTCTGCGCGCGCTCCGATGTTGCCGCCAAACCAAGCGGAAAGCGGGAGTAAGTTCCCAAGCAGATTCCGGGGAGCGTCCGGGGCACGCTCCGAGCAGGTTCTGAAGCAGGTGTCTGGAGCAAGTTTTGGAGCAAGCCCGCAAGCCCGGAACAAATTTGGGAGCAGGTTCTGGAGCAAGTCGGAGCAGGTTCCTCCTGAGCAAGTTCTGAAGCAAGTTCAATGCAACAGAGCGGTTCCGGGGCAAGTTCCGGAGCAGGTCCTGGGCTCCGGAGGAGACTCCGGAGCATGTTCCGGAGCCTTTTTGCAAATGGTGAGGTGCCGCCGTGATAGTGAAAAAATGTTGTTGTCACGGTGCAGCGCTGACCCGTCATGATGCGGGCGTGTTTTTATGCTGACCATGTTGGCATTTTGGCTAACCTGCCAACATGTTATGTTAAACGTCTGACGCACTAGGGTGTAGCCACGCCAACAAGCTTACATGGTGTCATGCTGGTTTCTTGTGTGTTGTGGAATGCTGTGACGCAGACGTGTAGACACGCTGAAATGTTTCGTATTGTTATGTTAATACGCTGGTGTTGTGTCAAGCCGACAAGTTGCCAGCCTGTGATGCTCACATGCTCACGCACTGTCGCACTGAGACGGGGAAGTCGGGCCACTGGGCCTATTTCAAGCTTGTGAAAGAGAGCGGAAGTCTTGCTCATATGGAAACTTTTGACACCAAAATTTGAGGAGTGTCTTTCACGACATGCGCTTGTGAGAGATAGCCGCTGCACGACAGCTTCGCAAGTGTCGCGCGAGAGCTCCCGCGGGGGTAGCTTCTGGGCTGTTGACTTCGCAGCGAGGCTCCATGAAGATGAACCTTGATAGTAAATGTTGCCTTGGTTTTTCAACGATCCTGATTCCAAAGGGGCCATGTTTCCTTTGAGGTACCTAACCGCTGCCTTTACTAGTTTTGCTTCTTGCATGCCAAGCGCTCTCAGCAGTTTGTCGCCCTGAAGAGTTCAGGAGGTGGCCCCTATTGGCCAGATGTTGCTGAAATCTCCTTGTCCATCTCACTGCGGGCTCAGAACTGGCAACTGTGTAGTGCAACTGTGGCAACGAGGAGCAGGACACATGCTTGGGTGTAAATGCAGCGTGTCGCTGGTGAACGGCATGATTGCCGGGAAACTTGTCAATCTTTAAGTTATGTTGTGGCCCCTATAGGCACTTCTTTTTAAACCTCCGCCGTGGCTTGTTCGGGTACTATTTGTGTGCTCAAGCTTCTTTTTGTGGTCAGGAACCCTGAGTGGGAACACCAGTTCCAGGCTGGGTTTTGACTTCCCCGAGCAGTTTCTGAGTTTCTCCTTTGCACCAGTTTGACACAGGCGACCCCTGTGTTTGAGTTGAATGGCAATGGCTTTCCCGTTTCAAGTCTAGGCGGTTTTCTCTTCACAAATTTGTTGGCCGGCAAAGGCAACGAATGGCTTCAATTGTTTTCATTTGTGCAGGCAATTTGCAGCTAAAGAGGGCTAGTAAAGACTTTAGCTCGCTGGTTGGTGTGCGCTGCCTATTCAACATTTTAGCAGTCGAAAAATTGGTTAGGCATACATCATCATCATCATCATCAAAGGTCTTCAAGGCATCAGGAAGCTGTCGACGCCTGAGAACGGAACTACACCATGAAATATCGTTGTTCTCAGACGTGTTCATTTGGTGACCGCAACAAACCCCGGACGCGAGACTCAGACACAGCAGACTTGAAGTGGTCGCGGTCAATTTTCACCACGAAGACAAGCGGTTTGAACAACTAATTCTTGGCAACTTGGGTTTGCCTGAGTCATCCCAATTAATTATTAATGTTTGACTGACAATGACAATGCCATAAAGGTTCATATATACATATGTCATATATATACACGTACAACATTGTAGCACAAATCTAGCTTGTGCATAAGGCACTTGCCAACGTCGCCACAGAGGAAAACTGCAGGGATGCCAAAGAAATTTCTTCCAACATTGACGTTTATTTTTTTTTTATATAGTGGGTATCGAACATCGAGCTCTGTTTTTTCCGCCAGGACAAACTAACCAATGTAGTACCACAAACACTATGCGTGTGGTCCTAGTGTTCTATGCCGCCAAGAAAGAGCTACCATGGAAGATATCCAAGGTCGTGCGCTGCAAACCAAAGGCCAGTTCTCGAGCTTAAGCTGGTACTGGTGTGTGATGGAAACTACATCCAATGGAAACCATTGACCTTTACCTGGAGATATTTCTCCGCTTTTGTGAACCTTTGCCCACCCATACCACCGAGCATAGTCACTTCCAGACTACCTTTTGTGGCATGACGCGTGCACCCTAAGGGCTGTACACATCACCTTTCACACTCCCCCCAACCTGCAGACCACACCATGGTGCAGGTTGCATGTATGAATGATGGCACAGCTTCCAACCTCGCGTGTTTGTTGCTGTGTCGCCGGCATGAGCCACCACCGGCTGTTAGGCACCCGTCCCCAGCATGCCGCCATAGCTGCCACATCCTGCATGCCGCCATAGCTTGCCACACCCCGCACGCCGCAGTAGCTGCCATGCATCCACTCATTGAGCACCGCCCATCTGCTTGTCACGCGCCATGTGCCGCCCACAGCCCACAGCTTGTCACATGCTCCATGTCGTCCGTGGCATTCTCCATGCTCCAACCAATCCATTCCTGGATCCTTAACCAACTCTCGGCGTTGGGCTCATAACCTCCGCTTCGTGAACCTCTCTGCCCACCCATACCACCGAGCATAGTCACTTCCAGACTACCTCTTGTGGCATGACGCGTGCACCCTAAGGGCTGTGCACATCACCTTTCACAATTTCCAATGTTTTTGTTGGCCGCCTCTGGTTCGATTAAAAGTAAACCTCTTCAGGCGCCTTCGCACCCAGCACTGGCGCCGCTTGGTGGAGGACCTCGCCGTTGAGGAATCCGCGACACACGACTTGTTGCTTGAGAACACAGGAACCCAAGATTCCAGCGGAGATTCGACACTTTCTGGCGCAGAATCCGCAGGCAAGGATAGACAGCGTCGCACCTGTAGGGAAGTGTCCTCACTATCGTTCGAATTCCTTCGAGTCTTTTTCGATCAGTTCTTTTTGTGGGTGTTCATTGTAAGAAAGACAGAGATTGATACATTTCCTAGGTTTCGTGGCCTGCCCTGCCCAGGTGACCTCTTTGGCTGGTCTGCGTGAGGCTCTCGCTGCGGATGAAAAAGCTGGTTTGCAGCAAGTGAAGTTGTTTCGAAGCATCATTGAAAGATTTACAGGCCCAGAAAAGATGCGTTCAGATGAGTTCAGATGTGATCTCTCTCTCCTAGCCTCCAGAGAGATAGCTGCGCTACGTCCAGCCTGAGTCTGAATTGATGGGGGAATGCCATTCTTTTTTGCCTTTCCTGTGGCCATTCTTGTCACGCTACGACAGAATGGTTCGATGGACGTGCATGTCAGAATTGCGAACTCAAGTTTGGATTGATCTGGACCTGAAACATATGAAACAGACTACAAAATAGACATCAAATCAATGTGGTAATGTGGGCAAGACTTCACATCAGAGCCGCACCAGGCAGCACGTTCCGCAACTCTTGCAGAGAACAGATGCTAAGATTTCACCAGGTTCTTTCCTTGCATACCCAGACAGCATGCATAGTATGTACAGACAAAGATTTGGACCCTCAGCAGCCCAATATCGCTTTTGGCTGCTGGAAAATAGTTACCTTTGCAACCTAAAGGCAAGAAGCTACTAGGGGCTCCTGGCATCTCTACTAGGAACAAGAAGCTACTAGGAACAGTTACCTAAAGGCACTTCTGTTGATTTTCTTCTAGACACTCTCAGTCAGTGGAGACTCGGCTGTCACAATGGCTTCCTTGGAGCTCTCGCAGCACACCAATGCGGTGGACCGGGGACCCAATTCGTTCCGGAACGCCATCCAATAAGTGCCTTTTGGTTCTGAAAACTGCTTTGGAACTCTTCCTAGAGGTTCTTAGAGGGATGATTCTGCACCAGTTGTTTGATACTTGCATCCACCAACTGTACCTAGGCATATTTATTTGAAGGCTTCTGCATTAGTTGCTACGAGTCTTTGTAACAAAAGCATTCAAACACACACACAGCACCTAAATACCAGGCATGACAACTGAGTACTGTAACAGCCGCCTAGTTGTTCGGCCTTGCCGGCTCTGCACGCACAGTGTTTTTGGGTGACAAAGGCGTTTGCGTCAATTTGTTTTGGTCCTCAATGCACAATGGTTTTGTCCAGGAGAAGTTTCACCATTTTGACCGTGGCAGTCCATGCAATTACTCTAGATGAACTACACTGCGGACACGACTTATTTGCGACGCTGGGCATTCGGTGTTGATTTGAGAGCGTCAGGTGCACCGTTTGTTTCAATGGCCAACACGTTTTCAACTTGCTATGTTACTCGGGTAGCAAAGATACGTAGTCACAAGTCGCACCTTTCGAAGTCAGCAAAAGTCGCCTGCAACAGCTCACCATGCTGCTAGACATGTGGCCACGTGGAGGCTTTTCACTTTTCACTTCATTTCAAGCTAAGGAACCACCTGGAGGTAGCTCGAGACTTCTACTCTGAGCCTCGGTGAGCAGGGTAGAAATGCGTTGAAGATTTGTGTCCAAACTCAATCAAGCAGCGCGTGGTAGGCCATTTTAAAGAGCCTTCTCATATGGTTCACTTATGGAGTCTTTTGGTGAGCCATACACACTGTTTTGTGCAGGTGAGTTCGCATAACAAGTCGAAGTGTCACAGACCTCTCTGCCAGCAGCAAATAATAGTGTCAAGTAGGAGCTCAACTTTAATCCTGAGCGTCCTTGTTACTAGTAGCGATGCCCTTTGTTGGTTACCTATTGACGGTAAGGTAGGTCTGGTATAGGTGAGTTACTCTTGGACTGCTGTTCAGCTGTGTCTTGGTAACTAATGATCATGATACACCACACGTATGCCATTTTGGCTAGAGTGGTGATCACCCTGGCTGTTTTTGAGGGCGCGTGAGCCCTTGGTGGGTTCTGTTGACTAGGGCCTGGGTGATCACTAAGGTTTAACTAGGCTAGCTCCTACCGCAGCCATGTCGGACATGCATATGGCTCCCTTTTTGCGCCAGCAAGCGATCGCGGTGAACCGTGTCGTTCGGCCAGAGGACTCAGTCAGCAATGTGAGCTTTTCTAGTTGGACTCGTGTGGCTGATCATGTTGAGATAGATGACTTGGAGTTGCCTCCACCTGATCTAGAGCTGCCCCATGTCGTAGATCTTGACAACAAGGTGAAAGTTGGTCAGCCGGATCCGGGTCAGAATCGGAGCATTCCAACAGTGGCTCAAGCTCAGCCAGCCACACCGCGACAAGGACAGGATCCTGTCCCAAAGTCTGCACCAGCCAGGAACGATGGCAGATCAGCAGACAGCTGCGCCAGCCGTGGCTCCTCAACCGCCAGTGTCGAAGGCAGCTCCGGCAACACAAGCTGCTCAGAACTTGCTTGCTGGAACCAACCCTCAATATGGATCCAGAAAGCTGCAGAAGCAAGCCGCTCGGGCCGCCAGGAAAGGAGCTCGTGGTCTTCGGTTTGGCCAGCTGGGTGGGCTCCACAACGCGCTCAGCAATGTGCTCCCTCCCTACCTCAGCCAAGTCGGATCGGGCGGTGGCGAGAGGTCGGTGCTGGTGGTTGACACAAGGGACCAAAGGATCTCTAGTCCCTTCCAGGGTTGGCTCCTAGACGAGATATTGATCAATGCACAGGCAGGAGTCAACGTGCTCTCGGACGCTCGTCAAGTGCGCAGTCCAAGCACGGGCTACCACATGAACCTGTTCTACATGAGGACCCTGGAAGGCAAGAAGTTGATCATCGTGGGATCCATGACATCTTACGGATCCGTGCCATGTGGCAGGTGGGACTCCCAGACTGGGGAGGTCTTGGCTCACCAGGCTTTTCAGCCTTTCCGGTGGCCCATCATGAGGGACGATTCAGCGACCTGGGTCGACCTGAAAGTGAAGATCGAAGGTGCGCTCCTCCTTCACCTCGAGCTGCGGGGGTACCGGTCCGATCAGGATATGACGGTACAATTGAACTACATCAACGACGCGATCGTCATGGCGCTCGAAGAGGTGTTGTTCATTCCCTCGTGCACGGTGGTGATCTTCCAAGGGTGGAGAGTTTGCGCCGTCTCGTTCGAGGTCGGTGGTCAGCTGTATGCTTGTGGCGAGGGGGGGGGCAGTTCTTGCCTTAGACTTTCCTCTTTGCCACTTTGAAATCCGGCTGACGGCGGTCTCGTCGGCTGACTCGCTGGGCCTGGACGCAGATCGTTTAGAGTTCAGGTTCACCTCAGCTCAGGACAGACTCAATGTGGCATGTGGCACGCTCGCTGTCCCAGCGACTTGGCTGGTGGTGTCCCGAGTGTCGGGGCCTACGCTCGTGAAGAACGCCCGGTGGTGTCGAGATCACTATGCACGAGTTGAAGGACCTGATCAAGTGATGCAATTGTCCCAGATTGCGGGGATCCATGCACACTGGACGGCTGGGGTAACAGCTGACTCGATCGAGGACACCGGGCCGAGGATCGGTGCTGTAGATGTGAGCTCTCATGCCGACAATCTAC